GCTCTTCAGTTTTGCTGTTTACTCAAGTCTCAGTGCTATCCTATTACAGCATAGCTGATCATTAATTAGAAGGTTATCCTTGGTGTGGAGGTGGAAAATGCTGATTTAAAAGTTTGTTACTCCAAGCAACTAGCCCACTTTTAATCTGAAAATGAATCATGTTTTATAATTTGAATTAAAATTTTGTACCCCCTCTTTTTTTTATAAACAAGTGAATACATTTTATAATTTCTTTTGGAATGCAAATCAAATCTGAATAAAATCTTACACGTGAAATTTTGTTGTTGTTTCTAATATCATTAATCTAAGAATTCTGTATTAAACAATTTTAAATAAAATAGTCACTCTTACAGCATAAAGTAAGGCTGAAAAAGCTAGCGCTTTGTTTAAAATACCAATTTTAAAAATAAGCAATAGTCTTAGAAAATATGGAAATGCCACAGTTTTGGTTGAGTCTTCGATGAAGTATCTGTGATGATTAAATTTATTTGGCCAGGACCCAGAGAAGCCTTGTATAGTGGGTTGGGCTATGAAAGTGGTGTCTTTAGAAGAAACAGATATTTGAAGAAACAAAATGATGTATATCAAAATGTCTTATTAAAAGGGAAATATAATCAAAATGTCACATAATCAACATTTCTTATTGAAAGGCAAATAGAGAAAGGGAGTGAATTTTATCCTGTATTATAAAGATGTTTCTCCAGACAACTAAACTGAGTTGGATAACGTCAATGAGAATGCAAATGGAGTGGTGTGCATAAAGACACTCAAAGTTTTGGGGGGAGAAGAAAGGGAATGTGATTGAGTTGATCAAACCAAATTAAATATCTGTTCGTATCTGGCTAGGGTCTGAATTTGTGAAGTACAAACAAAAAAATATTACTACATATTTTATCATTTACAAAATACTTTTTATTCGTTTTCTCAACTGTACAATGTGAAGCAAGAAGGCAGGTATTATTTATTTTTACTTTACCAATAAGGAAATTGAAGGTTAGATTTGCCTGTCCAAGTTCTCATGACTAGTAAATAATATTGAGAGCTGCAAATCTTGCAATCTTTCTCTTTATTTCCTCTCCAAAATTAATATTTAAGCTAACTTTTCTTCTGAAACAAAAACACAGTATTTTATTCTCCCTGACCATTCCTTTTCTTTGTTAGCCTTTTGGGAGGCTGGGGAGGTAAATATATATCAGCACATATATGTAATACTGTATTCATTTTAAATCAAACCAGTGTTTTCAGTAAGTTTCTATAAATTAATTCAAAGTTCAATTAACTGACCGGGCATGGTGGCTCACGCCTATAATCCCAGCACCAGCCTTTTGGGATGCCAAGGTGAATGGATCACGAGAGGTCAAGAGTTAAGACCTGCCTGGCCAAGATGATGAAAAATTACCCAGGCGTAGTGGTGCATGTCTGAAATCCCAGTTACTCGGGAGGCTAAGCTATGAGACTCGCTTAAGCCTGGGAGGTGGAGGTTGCAGTGAGCCCAGATTGTGTCATGTCATTGCACTACAGCCTAGGTGACAGAGACTCTCTTAAAAGAAAAAAAAAGTTCAATTAACTTACAGTTTTAAGTACGAGAAAACTTCATTTTTTTCCCCTAAGCGATGGGGTCTTGTTTTGCCCAATCTAGTCTCAAACTACTGAGCTCAAACAATCCTCCTACTTCAGCCTCCTGAATAGCTGGGACTACTGGCACACACCACTGAGTGCACTCAGTTTACCTGTCTTTAAAAGCATGAAGCCGAACATGAACAGTGTGTTGGCTCCAACTGTTCTGACAGCCACCATCTCTGCTTCTGGTGGAGGGCTGCTTAACTCGAGATTTCAGCTTATGCTCTACCAGAAGCCCAGATTCTGGCCTCTGTCATTAAAGATACAAAGCCAAAGATAGGGATTTATCATTAGCTCATTATAATGAACCCCAATAACATCCTGTTGGCATCAGTTTCCATAACAACTGTCTCACAGAGTGAAGAATGAAAAGGTTTTGGGGCAGCCTAAATGGAAACAAAGATGCAATGGTCTGAAAGATCAAGGGCTGCAGTGGTAGAACAAAGGCATTTTATGGGAAGATAATTACCATGTTTGCTTCCCTTTTTTTTTTTTTTTTTTAATAGGTGGGCCCCCCCCCACCCCCGGGTAGTCACGGGAACCCAGGCCCAGGGTCACCGCCAGCCCCCAGCATGTTTGCTTCCTAAAGTTTTCTGTGTAATTGCAAATCATTTTTCTTCAAACCAAATTCTATTTCACATGGCCATCTGTGTTGAAACTTTCCTGGCTTGGCATCTTTGTTTTGTTTCTTAACATAGCTAAACATAATTAAAGAAAAGGAAAAATGACCAAGATCAAATGCAGTTTGACCAACAGGCCCTGGAAGAACATTTCTGAAATGATACAAAGGTCGCAATGATACAAACTAAACTGTTTTGTGAAGCTTCTGCCATTATCTTACATGTGATTTCCCTCACCTAGATATATACATTCACAGTGACATAGATGTACACGAGGAACATGGAAACCTACAAAATATACCCATGGTTGAGGTATACCTGTGGAGATGTTGTGGCACTGTAGTTTTTTGCTTCTTAGAGAGTGAGAATTAAGAAAAGCAAAAGAGCCAGGCGTGGTGGCTCACGCCTATAATCCAAGCACTTTGGAGGCCAAGGCAGGCGGATCACCTGAGGTCGGGAGTTCAAGACCAGCCTGACCAACATGGTGAAATCCTGTCTTCAAAAAATAAATAAATAAATAAAAAGAAAAACAAAAGAAAGTGGAGTAGAAAGGAGGATGGTGTTTCTACCCACGAAGTTTAATATACTGTATTGTCTTTTTAGGATTGTAACATCTCTTAAGTGTCAAAATGTGTATGCCTTATTTTATGCTTACTGAAAAACTATTTCACAGCCAGTTAATTCCAGTAAAGTATACTGAAATTGGGGGGGAAAAAAGTGAAAATAGCTATTTTTTCAATTTATCCTTTTCCTAGCTTTCAAATGTTTGGACTAAAACTCCTAAGTTGTTTCGTTATCCTTACAGTTGTTTTCTCTCACCAGCTCACCATTTTTTTCCGGCTCCATTTTCTCCCATACTCTAGAGGTTGTGAACTGAGAAACTCCAAGGACCATCTTGTCCAACAATGGAATGCACTTTGGTTCTTGCAAGCTTTTGAATCATCCAAAAGCTGAAGCAGGAGTTGGGCTGCCCTGGCAGGACTTCAAACTGTAAACCAAAAGTACCCGAGACAGGTCTCAATCAATTTAGAGTTTATTTTGCCAAGGTTAAGGATGGGCCAGTGACACAGCCTTAGGATGTCCTGACATGTGCCCAAGGTGGTCAGGGTACAGCTTGCTTTTATACATTTTAGGGAGACATAATGCAGCAATCAGTACATGTAAGATTTTACATTGGTTTGATCTGGAAGGGCAGGACAGCTTGAAGCTTGGCAGGGGGTGGGTGTTTCCAGCTCACTGGTAGATTTAAACATGTCCTGATTGTCAATTGGTTGACTGAAAAAGTTATTATCAACAGAAAGGATGTCTAGGTTATAAGGGGTTTGTGAGACCTAGGTTTTATCATGCAGATAAAGCCTCCAGGCTGCAGGTTTTAGAGAGAACAGACCTTAAATGTTTCTTATCAGACTTAAGGTCGGTGTTGATGTTAATTAGGTATGTCCAGCCCCTCCCCCAATCCCCCTTTTCATGGCCTGAGCCAGTCTTTCAGGTTAAATTTTAAGGTGCCCTGGCTGAGGAGGGAGTCCATTCAGATGGTCACCCATTCAGATGGTTGTGGGGGCCTTCAAATTTTATTTTTGGTGTACAAAACAGAAAATGGAAGCACCTTGCTTCCCACTTCAAAGCCTTTTTCATGAGACACACTACCATTAATTACATGGGATACAAGACAAAGCTATGATGGGAAAGAAATACACTCTACAACGTCTTTTATGTGGTTAGTAATTATGGGAAGCACTTTATTCTGCAAAGGAATTCCACGCCCTATAAATTTAAAGTATTAGTTTGTCATCTCCAGGCATTCAGCATTCTCATAAACAGTGACAGAAGAAATACAGAATACAGGATCCAGCACAGTTTCGGGATTCCGGCTTCTTTGCCAGACTTATCTTTGCTTACTTCTTTGTACAGACTTAGTTCTATGCCAAAAGTATCTTCCAAAAATTCCTTGGAAGGGTAAAATCAACCACCTCTACTTATGATTTCCATGCATCTCTGGAATGCATAAAACGCAATTCTAAGACATGTTCTAATTCAGCTCAAAAAAAACACACAAAAAACCTGGTATCTTTGAGCAGTGGGTCTCAAACATCACGATCACTTTAAAATGACCTGAAAGCCTGGTGAAAACAGAAACTGCTGGGCTCCAGCGGATTTCTGACTCAACAGGTCTGGGGTGGTGCCTGGGAATTTGCATTTCTAACTAAAGTTCCCAGGTCCTGCTGATGTTGCCAGTCTAGAGACCACAATTCGAGATCCACTGAGACCCACTGTGCTATCCAGAACTTTTGCTGGTTTCCTTCAAGTCATGATACTTCAGGGCTCTCTCTGCACCACCGCTACTGAGGAGCTCTACCCATTAAAGCTGGGCCATGCTTAGTGAAGGTTGGTCCAAGAATGTAACCGGGACTGTTGAGATTTCAGCACCCCAGCCTTTTTTAGTGACTGAAATAATGAAAATTCTGATCGGACCCCTGCTTGCTGGTACATTTTAACCACTGGCTTTTTGCCCAACTCTCCTTGTTTCCACAATATAATTATAAACTGCAGATGTACTGCTTCCTTCTCAAGCACAAAGAAGTAACTTCAGGGTCACAAAAATGTGTGCGGAAGGAATGAATACCTTGAAGGGCTTTGTGACCAACTGCTGATGCCTACGCATCTGATTGCTCAAGTTGTTATCTGAGACTGAAGAAACAGCCTTTTCCCCTGCATTCTTTGAAACTCCCCATCTCTCATTCTCTAGCAGTATAAAAACTCCCTTTTTTTCCTTTTTCTTTTTGATGTAGAATTGTTTTGTGTTCCTCATGCTACAACACAACCTTCAAAGTCAGCCACGTATATAACATTAATACGCGTCCTCAAAACATCAACTTAGATAACCCATAGCCAGAGGTTCTAAACTGCTACAATGCAACTTCAACATTCAAAAGAGTACAATAATATGCTTCAAACCCCATCTCAATGCAAATTTAAGAAAAGCAAAGCAAACTGTATTATCAGACTACCAAAACTCAGTAAGATTCTGTAATTTAATATACCTACTTCTCATCTCTCTAAATTTCTCAACACTGGGGAGTGTTTTTAAAGATATCAATGCCTGAATTCTACTCCAAGCCAATTAAAACAGAACAATTAAATCAGAATCTCTGTGGGGCATCTTGATTCACTTATTGCTTTCTAACACCTTTTACTTCTGTCCCTTTTCAAATGTCCAAAAATTAGTAATATTACAATCTGTGTTATGATCATAATATTATGATCATAAGAAAAAACATAAAATGAAGACTTGGAAAGATATTTGTTACTCATTTAGAATTATTTGGTATAACAGTATTTTCCAATGGAGGAAGACTATTGGATTTCAGGCATAAAACAATGCAGAAAAAAAATCTCAAGACATCACAGGGAAAGGAAGATAACTTCTGACTCTGGTTTCCCATGTTTCAGGCCAGGAAGAGCAAGGAAGAAAAAAATTTCTCCATGGGAACAAGTACTCATGCTCTAAAGAAGAATTTTATTTCAACCCATTAATTTCCTTTTCATGCAAAATTTCAAAGATAAAGCAACATAAAATACGAGGCCAAAGAAAAGCGAAAAGGTCTTCAAGTCTGTCAAAATAGAGATTCAGTCCAACATCATGCCAATTTTTATATTAATTGTAGTCCCTAAGTTTTCATAACCAAAAAAATGAGAATAAACTTATAGCTATCTACTAAGGTAACAAATTGTAAATAAATTCCCCAATATTGCTTTGAAAATAAATTCCTTGGTTGTTAAGAGAAATTTCAACTTCCAACTCCATCCAAATTTATTATTTAACTGGTATTCATCAGTCATCATCTACTGTTGGCTTGATTGTCACTCCTCTTCTTATCTGACCCCAACCAATTAAACGCCAGTGTTTTTCAACTCTTCTGCTAAGGGCAATTTTTTCTCCTACCTCTGTGCACACTGGATTGGTCAAAACAATTTTACCCAGATCGGCCTTGACAGCACTAACTCTCCCTCCTGTCGACAGGGACCCTATGTTCACCATGAGCACTTCATTCTTAGACAGCTTTTGCACCTTTGCTGCCTTCTTGTCTCCTTCAGTGCGTACACCTAGAAGCCGTCTAAGCAGGAAATAGGAAATTTCCAATTCTGTGAATATCTCAGGTAAGGCTCCGACTGCACCAAGTACCTGCCCCACCATTCTGTCAGCCCGGCACAAAGTGGGGTCAATTTTTGTTCCAACTCCAATAAGACCACCCGGAGCAGCATATTGCAGATCATTATGCTCCGCAAAAAGCGATACAATTTTGGAAAAGATTGGTTTACACATGAGTTTTCCTTCACTATCCTTGGAAACAATACCAGGTCTTACTTCTATCTCCTGGCCCACTTTTAATACTCCTTTTAGGATACTACCACCAGCTACACCCCCCTTAAGGTCATCAACTTCACAGCCAGGTTTGTTGACATCAAAAGATCTAATAACAATAAGGCGGGGCTCTGAAGTAAAGTCTCTTGGGGGTACTGGAATTTTCTTTACTATGTACTCACAAACAACTTCAATATTGTATTTCAGCTGAGCCGATATTGGAATAATGGGAGCTCCCTCTGCTACTGTACCTTGGACAAAAGCAAGGATCTGTTCGTATTGTTCTTTAGCCTGACTTTCTTTTACCAAATCAATTTTATTTTGTAGAATCAAAATATGCTTCAGTTTCATGATCTCTATAGCAGCTAGGTGTTCAGATGTCTGAGGCTGAGGGCAAGATTCATTACCAGCTATCAGCAGAAGAGCTGCATCCATCACTGCTGCACCATTCAGCATAGTAGCCATCAAAATATCGTGGCCAGGACAGTCAACAAAGGAAACATGTCTGACTAATTTGAAGTTCCCTTTGGTCCCCGGAATGTCTGTAGGAAACTCATCAGGTGTACTGCTCCCACAAGATCTATAACATTCTGGCCGAGGGCAACTTGGGTCATCAAGTTTATAAATCTTAGCATTAGCATATCCAAGCTTGATTGTAATATTTCTTTCTAGTTCATTTTTGAACCTGACTGTGTGAACTCCAGAAATAGCTTTGACAACTGTGGATTTCCCATGAGCTACATGACCAATTGTACCTATATTAATTGTGGCTTGTCTGCTGATAACTTCGTGTGAAAGTGGCGTCAACTTGGTAACATCCAAGGTGGTGAGATCCTGGCGCGAAAGATGCGGCTGCCCCAGAGTCACTCCAGCTTCTCCTCCCGCCATCTTGCCAGAAGAGCTGCTTTTTCCTTTTTTATAGAGGGATTTGAGGGATGCTGCTCTCCCTCCTTCTGGCTTTGACCAAATGAAATAAGTCTGTCTCTATCCCCAAGCACCTGTGTGTCAGTGTTTGGCATCAACCGTACCACTGATACACCAGCCTGAATTTGAACTTCTGCAAGAACACTCCTTCCTAGGCCAGACACTGACGCTAAGAAATAGGAGAACAGATCACATCGCCATACAGCGGCTGAAGGTCATGCGAACTGACGCGCTGCAAAATCTGCCTTTCCACGTGATCAGCTGGGCGTCTATACCCGCGGCCGTCTTTGCCTCCTCCTCACCGTCAGGCCTGAAGGTCCGACTGTAGCTGCAGGATAGCCCGAGCCTCCGGGTGGGCCCCGCGGCCCTCTATGGCGCTGCTCCACGCGCTGGTCTGCTGCTTGCTGACTGCTTGGCTCTACTGCTCCGGCCTCGGGCTGCCAGTGGCGCCGGCAGACCGCAAGAATCCTCCGCTGGCGGTAGGTGAGTTGCCGGCTACCCTTCTCTTCCGGGCAGGGGCGGAGAGAGCCGACCGGCGGCGCCTGCGCAGAGCCGCAGAAAGAGCGTCGGGGGCAGAGGTTCCGGCGAGCCCGGGTCCTGACGTGGCCGGCGTTGACTACGGCGCCCGGGAGGGCGACCGAGGGACGAGAGCGTGAGGGCGTCCAGCCGGGGCTGGGCGGGGGGAAATGCCTGCGCCGTGGGGGCGCTCCAAGGGCGCATCGGCCGGATTCCGCCAGCCTGGCTGTTGTTTACATCCTGCGTTTCAGTTGATTTGCTCCTCGGGGCAGGAAGGAAAAGCGGACTCAAGGGAAAAGGAAGCTGGGAGTGGGGTGTCCAGCACTTCCAGAGACCCCAAATCGGTCCTGAATGGAAAGGGACTGCAGTTTCCCCCTCAGCTCGCGGATGTACTTTTCAGCGGGACTCAAGAGTATCTTCTGTCCTGCGCGACCGAGGTCGGTGGCGTTTTCTGCCACTGTCCCAGCCAGATAGTGAAAGCACCCTCGGTGTAGACTCGCCCCTGAGCCTACCGGGGACTCCATTTCACCCAGATGTTCACTAGGCTCCCTGCGGGCGGGACCCATTTCACTCCCAAGACAAAACAGTGCCTGTCACAGTAGTGATCTCTAAGTGTGGCCCTGGGCCGGCGGCAGCAGCAGCGACACCTAAACTTTTTAGCATTGCAAATTTCCAGCCCTTCCCAGACCTACCGAATCTGAAACGCTGGCATTGGGGTTCCACAAAATGTTGTTTAACCAAACCCTCTGCGTGATTCCGTTCCGCTAAGTTTGAGACTCCTTGGTCCAGAATAGATACATTTTGGTGGGAATGCCATCTGAGGCTCCAGTTTCAAAAATCAAGGTGCCCCACCTCCTCGACTCCCTTAAAGATAATTGCACTGTTAGAGGAAAAACAAAATTAGAGAAGGGGAAGTCCTGTTTTCTTTTGGGGGAGAGTCGTCCTTGAGACTCGGTAGCCCCTGAAACCTCTCTCTTCCCTGCCTCTGTGCTTCCTCAGGACTTAGGAACGCTCTAGGGTAAATATCTTCTCTTTGAAGGCCAATTCCTCTCGACTCAGCTTTCTTGAGGTAAGAAGCAAAAACTGTAAAAACCGTAAATCCAGTTTCCCAACTGTGTCAAATGTCAGTCATTACAAGAAATTGCCCCAAAATATTTATGTATACTGGTTTCTGCTTTTATTACAGTTTAGCTTGTGTTACTTTAATTATGTGACTGGTTAGAGTATTGAAATAAAATGTCTCAGGTTGCTTGAAGCCACACAATGGCAAATTCACCTCATTGGGCACTTTCTGGGTACTATGTGAGTCTTCACTTCTCACCTCTATTTTTTTTTTTTTAAGAAGCTGCAAGGTTGAATCCTCTCCTACTAAAGGGAAGGAAGAGGGGTTTCTGGATGTCAAAGGTCTGACACGTTACTGGAGTTACGGGGTTCAAAGGTCTGAAGTGACTCAGCAGTTTCACAATTCGCCTTGTTTACTGTAGCGTTATTAGCGTCCAACAGTACCAAAACACATTTAATAAAGAGATCTTCCAAACAGGCTTTGTGTGGGTGACAAGGCCGCTTTATTTCTCGCTCGGGTGGAAGTGGGCCAAATATGAAAGGACAGGAGAAGCAGATAACAGTGGGAATTGGCTTTATAGGTTAGGGCAATTTTTTGGGAGGCGGGGTGTTGCAGAGTAAGATCAGTTACTGTGGGCCGGGCGCGGTGGCTCAAGCCTGTAATCCCAGCACTTTGGGAGGCCGAGGCGGGTGGATCACGAGGTCAAGAGATCGAGACCATCCTGGCCAACATGGTGAAACCCCGTCCATGCTAAAAATACAAAACATTAGCTGGGCATGGTGGCGCGTGCCTGTAATCCCAGGAGGTTACTCAGGAGGTTGAGGCAGGAGAATTGCCTGAACCCAGGAGGCGGAGGTTGCGGTGAGCCGAGATCGCGCCATTGCACTCCAGCCTGGGTAACAAGAGTGAAACTCCGTCTCAAAAAAAAAAAAAAAAGATCAGTTACTGTGGTGGGGGATAGAGGCTAGGAGTATACTATACCATAAGTTCAGTTACAATGGCGGGTGGGGTAAGGCAGAAGAGTAGTTAAGATGGTGGGGTGGGGCAAGGTGTATTCATATTATCATAAAAACAGTTAAGATGGCAGGGTGGGGTGAGAGGCTTGTGCAAGGGAAGCGCTGCTGGACGTTTAGGGATAATGGCGAAAGCAGGTTGGGTGTGGGGGAGGATCAGCCGAGGCAGGGAGGACTTCAGACTTTCTGGGTCCAGGCTTGCACATGGAGACCTGATACAGTGTTTTGCATGTTTTCCACTTGATGTGACCACTCCCCTGCCCCCTCTTCTCAGCTCCAAATGCTTGGACTTCCTTTCAACATCCACCATGCCTGGCTACTGCCTGCTTTTCTTGTGTTTTTGCTTTTAAATTCCCAGTCTTCGCTTTCTGCTTTGTCAGGTTTTGGTGGTCAGAGGACAAAAGTCCTAGGAAGCTTCACATGTGTGCTTTAGATTTAGTAGGCTGGGACCTGCTTGTGTATTGGTACTGTTAAAGCAAACTAAATACAACTTGAGAAGGACTCCTTATTTCTGTATTTGAATCCTTGTGGATGAACTGTAATCTAGCTTAATAGATGAAACTTAAAACTAAGAGTTAAATAAAGAGTATGCTCTTTAAACTAAGATAAGAGCTAAATAAGAGTATGTGCCTGTAACAATAGCTAAGTCTTGGCCAATCCCAACAGTCATACTTCAACCATTCATACTGCTGAGTGTTCAAACTGTTCAAATTAAGGCACACGCTGAGCTGAACTATGTCTGAACTGTGGTTCATTGGGTTCTTTAGGAGAAGTTATAACATTTTCTTTGTGTTAAAAAATTTTCTGGTGTAATTTTGAGAGTTTGCTTGGATATGTTGAACACATACATATTTTTGGAAATCTTTTGAAAGATGGTCTGCAGAACAAGAAAGCGTGGTGTAGTAAAAAGAACTTTGGACGTCGAACTAGGGAACATGGATTGGATGTGGGCTCTGCCACAGGCCAGGCCTTAGAAACACATTTGTGCACACATTTTTTATACAATTTCATTAGGGGAGGGAGATGAGGCTTCCAGATGTTCATTATTCATAAGTTGCAGGTTAAGAACCTGTCAGAGCTCTGTTCTTGGCTTCTATTTAAAGACATCTTTTGGTGAATTTAAATTATTATCCCCTAATTTATCTGGCAATGCTATGCAGTAGAAAGACTGGAAGTCTGGAGAAGCTGGTTCCAGTTAAGCTTTCATGACTGAGTCATCATGTGATCTTGAGGATATCCTGAAATTTGCCTTTGCCTAAATGTCATCATATAAAAATTAAAGAATGTTTGTTGAAGGGCTGAAGTGGAAATTTTGCCCAGGATTTTGTCAGCACGTCAGCAACGGTCCGTATTTTTAAAACTGATCCTATTTTGGTTAGTAACTGCCTCTTTCTGCTTCTGTGCCTCAATTTATTGCTTACTAACTGGAAAGCTGTAAGAAGAATGCCACGTTGTCTAAAACCTGCTGCGTTGTCTAAAGTCCTGAATTAACTTCCCTTGCCCCTTTACCTATAAAAACTGTGCCCCTTTACCTATAAAAACTGTGCACTTTTCTTAGCCGGGGTCCAGACTTTTGGGTGTGAACCCTTCTGGGCTCGCCGGCGTAATAAAATGTGTTCCTCCTGTTGTATTGGACCGAGCGTAGAAAGTTAGCACCAAGACAAAAGTATGCCAGATTGCAGGGTCATTTATTATGCCGGCGACCACAGAGGACTCACGTCTCTCCAACCTGTGGCATCAAAAGGAGGGTGCCAAGACTTTTTATACCTGAAAAACCACCTTGGAAGTGGGGGTGAGGAGCGGGGATGGGGATGAAAAGATTTTGGACATTCCAAGGGCTAGGGGATTCTGTGATTTACCTCCTTGGCGGAGACGAGGGCGGGGGTCTCCGGACATTCCAAGGTCCAGGGGATTCTGTAATTCACCTCCTGGGTGGAGACGAGGGCGGAGCTCTCCAGACATTCCAAGGGCCAGGGGACTTTTGTCATTCTGTTTGTTACTTCAGTGGTTTACAGAAGTCAAGATAAGCATTTGTTTACACACAGATCTTAGTTATCCTGGGCTGCTTATTTTAGTTATTACTAAATAACTAAAGCAAAGGCTAGCAATTCTGGCACAATATCACACTCCAATCCCCTGAGTGCCGCTTGGGTTTCTTGTCAGGAAAGATTTTCCAGAACAGGGCTACTATAGGTCATGCATATTCTAGATGCTGGAGATATAAATCTAAGTACTAAATTACATCAGACGGGTGTACTCTTAATGCATTTCAGGTTTGGGTTTACTGAAACAAGTACTGAATATGTTTATAGTCTGTTTTCCCCCCATCTTCACAGGATCACAGATATCATCATCTGTTTCTGAGACAGAGTTTTGTTTTTGTTGCCCAGGCTGGAGTGCACTGG